TTGCTCAGCTATTATCTGTCCAGAGGGAGCATCCTCCTCTCACCAGGGCCAGGCTTGGCAAGCCGCCAGCTGCAGGAACAGGATCAAAAGACCCACAGCTCCCTGCCCCAGCTGGTCTGCAGGGACCTGCCACTGCCAGGAAGGACATCCCAGGATAAGCATAGGCAGTCCTTGGGGAACACCTTTCTGCAGATCCCAGTCCTGGAGTAGATCCCCTGGGCAAGACGGATTGTTTCCTTCCTCCCATCTGCTTCATCTCTTCTGCTTCCCTCACCCCTGAACCTTCCCCCCAGCTCCCCATGGGGAACTCTGGCACTCACCCACTCTGTCAGACCACATCCTTTCTCTGTACCCCCAGGTCCAAATACTGGTACCCACCGACTATTCCCCCTTCTCACAGAGATGAAAGCAGCTCACAGAGGAGCAATGTGGATAAATGATCGCACAAGGTAACACGGTACTGAGTACCTCACACTCTCTGCAAGGCTTCCCAGAGCCCAGTCACCTACGGGGATAAGGGAACAGACAAGCTGCGGCTGCAGGACTGTACAGGGAGCAGAGAGTAGCACACAGCTCTGGAGATGGGCAAGTGAGAGCATGGATGCCCTGGATGTCGACTGGATCTCCTCTTTCCAGCACCTGGAGAAGCTGGTGGGATGCATCGACCTCTCAAGGATGCATGTCCAGCAGATCTGGGCTGCTATGGATCAGCCCAGCAGATATGGGGATGAGGCAGTGAGGCAGGGATGCATCAAACACAGAAGAGGATGAGGAAGAAGCAGTGCTCAGTTCTGTGCCAGGCCCGGGCCCTGGATGGAGCTAAAACCACCCTGGGAAACACAATGTGCTCATGCTCCAGAATGTTGGATCAGGCTGGAGTGAGATCTCAGACCAAATTTGCAGCTGAGCAAAGAAGAGATACCTCCTATCCACACAAAGAGGTGACTGGCCATGCTGCAGCTGGAATTACAGTTACCATGTCAATCCAGACAGACCTCTATCGCAAACTCCCCAGTCCTGCAGAGCTGCAGGGCTGAAGATAGATTTGTCACACAAATTCTACTCCAGGCTCTTGTATTGGAGGATTTTCTGAGTACCACAAAAGCTGTTAGTGAGGGGACAAAACCAGCCCTCACACCCTGCACAAGGAGCTGCTCAGTAATTATATCCGGCAAGAGCTCTCCACTCCAGCTCTGAGACGTGAGGGAAAAACTCCGAGCACAAAAGCTCTGGGATAGGAGGAGAAAACTCCGAGCACAAAAGCACAGCAGCACAGCCGTGAGACACACAGCCAGCATCCACAGCGTCTTAACCTACTTTGGGTTCACTGCTGCACGGCTGCTCGTGGGGGCCAAAGGAGGGGTTGCATCCGTGTTGGGCACCATCTGGCAGCTCCCTCTCAGGGCACTCTGGATACTGAGGGCAGGGGGAAAACCAGGACCTGCCATCTCCATCCCTGTCCCTGTCACCATCCCAAAGACCATGGCAAGACGAACACAGGAGCCACGGGTGCTACAGTCTCATGCACACACCTGGGAAGGAACATTGGCGGGGACAGCAGTGGGAGAGGGAAGGTATCAGAGCAGCCCAAGACATCACAGCCCCACTCCTCCATCAGGTTTGAGCTCGAGGGAGCTGGAGGCTGTGGGGACCGACAGCTGAGCTGTTGGGGTGTGGGACCACCAGAGGACAGCTGCATAATGTGGGGAGTGAAAGGCAGTGTCAATGATCTGGCCTTGATGTGGGAACATGATGGGCAGTCATTAGCATCATGCATGGCACCTGATTGATAACCAGGGGTGTGATGGACAGCCAGTAATGAGCCCATGTGAATGTCCAGGGGCAGGGATGCACAACTGTCAGTGGACACGAAGGACAGACCTCGGCAGGTGGCCTTGTCTGCAGCCAGCACCAGGAGGTGTCCCACTTGGGTGTTGGTGGAAAGTGTGATCATGTCTGCAGGTCCTGAGATCCTGAGCCCCTTCCCCTGCATGGAAGCCACACAAATGGGGTACTTTGGCTGAGACAGCAGGAGGTCACAAGGCATAGTCTTCCCTCACTCAAAGGCCTGCTCCTGCACCATTTATTCCAGATGATGGGCAATGCTCTGCCATTCCCTGCCTGCAGTCTGACACAACAGCCCATCAGGCAGCCAGTTTTTATCCCATTTCATGCTGATTTTGGTATCATCCTTCCCTCCTGAAACAGCTGCTGTGAGGTGAGCCGATGCCTCTCCGAACCCTCCCTGCAGTGCATCAACACTATTATCTGCATCAGCCAAACTTGTAATCTCCTGAAAAAAGATATCTCGCTATTTTGACAAGTTCTCTTTTCCATCACCCCCTGCTGACTGGCAGGAACACTGGCTCGCGCAGGCGCGCCGGTGCTGCTGTTCCTGCTTCTTGGCAGGAGCCAAAAGTTCAGGGCTCCCCCCTTCCCCCGCCCCGCCTCCCACCAAAAAGCAAACCCTTCGCCCTGCGTCCCCCCAGGGTGCCGGCAGGTTCAGGGCCGGGGGCCGGGCAGGAGCGGGGATGAGCCAGGGCAGCACACGGCGGCGTTCCCGGGCGGGCTCCAGAAGCAGCCGCAGATGGTGAGCCCACACGCCGCGTCGCCGCAGCAGCCAGTGACCTACACGCGGGCGTCATGCGAGATTTGGGAGCGGGGAGAGGAGCTGACGAAAATGCTCATTCCCGCTGCAGCTCAGCTCTCACCTCCGCCCCTGCAGCCCTCCTCCAGCAGACCGGCGCTGCCGGCTCCGGCAGGAGCTTCCCCAGCCTGTTGCCGCTGCGGCCGCTCCAGTGAGCAGCCAGACACACCGTGGCTTCTCAAATAGGACAAGGGACCGTGCCTTCCTTCTGCCCCAAAGGGTGCGAGAGCATCCTGCATCTTGCACAGGGTGGAGGCTGCTGAATGCTCCCTGCAGAAGTGGATCCAAGCTGTAGCTCTCCTTTGGTGGGACATGGCACCTGCCTGCAGCAGGATTCCCAAGGCCCTTGGCAGCCAGAGCAGGAGCAGGGCTGGGGCTCCTGCTCGCCTTTGCTTTTCCAGGAATCGCTGCACTCTTCCACAGGACTGCCAGGGCAGGGCTCTCCCCACAGAGGCACTAAAAGCTTTCACAGCCTGCCAGCACAATCCTCCCCAGTCCTCTGGGGCCACGGTTCATCTGTGGAGATGTTTCCTGCTGGCCTCACAGCTGGCCTCCGCTTTCTCCACCCCACAGCCACCCCAACACCTTTCCACCATGCTCCCCGGGCTAAATAATGCAAAATGTGATTCACCCTAAAAGGAAGCATCCGTGGGGGAGGATGAAGCACAAAGAGGCATCCTGGGCCAGGGCAGGGCAACCAGTGGCTCTATTAAGGCTGATGGAGTGAAGCAAGACAGGACCTGACAGCCACAAGCAGAAAGCAGATAAATCCTGTCTGCAGCCTAGCTTTGTGCATCCCCAACCGTGGGGAAAAGAGCCGCAGACTGGCTCAGATCCCAGCACAGCACCCAGATGCTACCTTTTCCAACCTCTGGATCTGCTTGCAGGTGACATGAGTTGCAGACGGTCTCAGCTCACTCCCAGTTCAGACATGTGGGAGTGGGAAGGGTCTGTGATGAAGGTTTGAGTATTGTGGGATCAGTGTCAGTGTCCATAGGTCTACTAAGGGCTGACACAGCTGATGAGCAGCAGTCAGGGGTCAGGAACCAGCCTGGCACCAGCGTGTGGCACAAGCTGGAGCATATGTGCCCCAAATAGGGTGCTGGAAGCACCCTCGGGACTGCTTTGTTGCAGCCACTTGCTCCTGAGGAGGCAGGGCACTGCAGGAGTGTTGGATGCTGTGTCCACCACAGTTTTTTCAGAGGTGTAGAAGACTGTCAGGGATGGTGCTGCCCATCTTCCAGAAGTCAGGAAGCTTCAGTCATTCATCCCATGCTCCCACTCCATACTCTCTGTGTTCTCTGCATGGAGGGGGTAACATCCCTGCCTCCCTGCTGCTGCTCGCTGCTCCCCACATGTCCAGTGCTCTGTGGGGCTGGTGGATCTGCACAGAGACAGATAGGACCTGCCCAGTGGAGGGCATAGGGACAGGCATGGCCAGGATATCAGGCTGGGATGTGGAATTCCCCCCAGCAGCATCCTGGGACCAGGAACCCTGCAGTGGGGCTGAGCAGAGCTTCCCTCTCCCCTAATCAGGAGAAGACCTGCTGTATCCAGCCTGGTCAAAGAGCAGGGCAGCCCTGCAGCACCCCCACTGCCCTGGCCCCTCTGCTTTCACTTTCAGCGCCAATCCCAAACCTGTATGGAAGCTGCTCCTAGGAGGGCTCAGAGTCTGTTTCACCCTAAGTCATCCCCAGGCAGAGCTGGCAGTTCCTGAAGGGGAAAGCACAGTCCTCTTACCCAGCAGTACCCCCTCTCAGGAAGGTGTCAGGGGGCTGAGTCACCATCTCTACCAGGCTGATGTGGGGCAGCTGGGGATGCACGTGAACCAGATATCCCACCTTCAGAGGTGCTGAATTAGGGCTGTGCCCTCCTCTCCCCACCAGCATCCTCACCCTTGCCCCAACACCTCACTCACACCTTCCATAAGCCCCCAGACCCACTGCAGTCCTGTGGTGTGTACCCCGGTGATACGTTCAGTCCTGGAGACTAGGAGAACCAAACCCCTGGTGCTGCATTGCACCGGGCACACCGGGCTGCACGTAGCCGGCAGTCACTGTGCCCCCACTGCACCACGGTGTAGGAAGGACAGCCTGCCTGCAACACTGACCAGCAGGCATCGAGTTAAAGCAGGTGCAGGTAGCCTGTGCCTGGGGCACTGGTCTGGGGAAGATCCTGTGGGTGGGCAGGTGAGACCTTCACTCCTCCGCGGATGCAGCCCCATCTCCATAGTCCTTGAGATTTTCTCTAAGAAAGGCGGTTCAGCCCTGGGGGCCAGAGGAGATGCAGGGAAAGCTTTTATTGGTATCTCCCAGCACACGTCAGCCCGGTTAAAAAAAAAAGCTTCGTGTCTCAGAGAGCTGTTTAACACAGCTCAGGCAGCAATTGGTACAGGGACAGCAAACCAGGCTGCATCTGCTCAGCCCCAGTCACAAGCTCCCTGCTTCCTCCAAGTGTGTGTGCGTGTGTGTGTGTGCGCGCGCGTGTGTGTGCGCGCGCTAGACACAGGCATCCGCTCCCAGCATCTCGCTGTCTCCTGCATCCTCCGGCAGCAAGTGCAGGGCTCTGGCTCCTCGGGTACCACCCTCACCACTCCATCCCCCGACAGGGATTTGCGCACGGGGCACGGGATGTGGTGAGCACCCACGGGTGGAGAGGGGGTTGCGGCCAGAGGCAGCGGCGATGGACACCGTGTGGACCTCTGTCTAGGGCTCGTGTTCCCCAGACGGACCCTCACCCTGGTAAGTGCTTTTTTTTTGCCACAGTTGGTGCTTTGCTGGGTGCATGGCATGGGCTGTCCACACGTTGTGGCATCCTTGGGTGGGTTCTCCCGCTGCCCCCCAGGTCCTGGTGCCTGAGAGGGTGTCCAGAGCTCCTGGGATAGGGTGCCTGGGAGAAGGGATGAGGATGGGGTGGGAGGGTCCTGCCCAGGCATTGGGGTCCTCATGGGGGTACTGGGGAGATGGGCTGGGGAGGGAGATGAGGAGGAGAAGTGGAGAACCGGGCAGGAGCTGTGTCTGCTGCAGAGGAAGGGACTCTGCTGTCACGGCATTTTCATCCCCCTCTGGGAGATGGAAGCGTGCGACACACCTATAAAATCTGCCATGGCGCGGCAGGACAGGCAACATGATCCAGCAGGGAGAGCAGCCACCGCCTGTGTCCCCAGGACTGGGACACAGCACATCTGGGGCTCCAGCCACCCCTCTGGGCATCCCCACTGAACTCCCACAGCCCTGCAGAGGGTAGGGAGGGTACCATCAGCCACGGACCCCCCCAACCCACAGCAACTGGATCACCTCACAGCAGCAGCCCCAGCAGTGCCAGAGTCACAGCATGTGCCGTCTGCCCGGGAGAGGGGACAAGAGAGTGCTGTCAGACCCCTGTGGCCATCCCCAACCAGCTCAAAGAGGTGGGATGCAATGGCCCCTAAGCAGAGCCTTCTGCCTTCACTGCTGGCCCCCCTTGCCCCAGGCAGGCAGGGGCTGGCGGGATATGCAGGACTGTACCAGAGCCATGCCAGAGCCACGGGAGCTCCTCCCAACCCTGCTCCATGCCCTTCAGATCAAGCACTGGGACCAGGCAGCCACGGGCTCTGATGTCCCGGGGTGTCCTCCCTTTTGGTACCCCACCCCTCTGCCCCCAGGGTCCCTAATGCTGCTCCCAGTAAGGTGCTGTGGGGTAAAAATATCAGGAGATTCTCGAGGCAGGGGGGAGGCCTGGACCGTAGAGAGCCTGTGGGGACCAGGCGCATCCTTCCCCTGAGTTGGGGAGCTGCAATCCAGGGGGTTCTGCTCCTGGCACACCCGTGATGCCTCCTTTTGAAGGTGGGTGCCAGGGACCCTACTCATGTGTGCACCAGCCCAAGCACCCTCTGACCCTTTATTTGCTGGTGGGGCATTGCAGCGAGGACACACCATGGGGCAGGTGACAGTCAGCCCTACAGACCCTGTGGCTCCACACCCCCATCTCCCCATGCCACCTCTGGGCACCAAAACAGCCCACCCTGCACCCGTGGCCCCCTGAAAAACACCCATCCCGCACCCCCAGCTGCCACAGACACCACCCCACACCCACAGCTTCTGCAACATCCCTGCACCCAAAGCCACCACCCACCCCATGCCCACAGTCGCTGCAACACCCGCTGTGGGCCGTAACACCCGCCCCGCGCTGCCAGCCGCTCCGTAGCACATCCACCCCAAAACACATCCACCCCTAACACATCATCCACCCCGTAACACATCCAGCCCTAACTAACACATCCACCCTGTGCTGCTCCCCCCCCACATCCATCCTGTGTTCCCAGCCACCACAACGCCCCCGCAGTGCCGCGATACACCCACCTGCGTGTCACTCATCGCCTCGCACCACAAACCTGGCACCCCATAACCCCAGCACAAGCCACGTGGGCTCTGCTGTGGGAGAAAGGAGGTTTTGCAGCCACGCAGGGGCCATTGGCTCTGTTTGCTTTGTTTGGATGCTCTGCCCCGCTTCCTTCTCTTGGGGTGCCTCCATGCTGGCTACCAGCTCTGTCCCACCAGTGCCCCCATCCCCACCTAAAACAGGCTTATCCTCACTCCAGCTGCACCAGCTTTGCCTCCATGCCTCAGTTTCCCCATGCAGAGAGGTGCTTGGGGCTGGGAAATACGCATCCATGGGTGCTAAGAGGATGAAGTGCTTTTCTGGCTTAGTATTTTGCTGCAGGGATGAAGCAGCAAAGGAGAAAATCCGAATCAGAAGAGTGTGGGGAATGGGTGTTGCCCAAGGATCAGGGCAGGGGTGCAATGGGCTTGGAGCAAGGGAAGGGAAGGGGGTGGGAAAGTGCCCACCCCCTGCTGTGACAGCCCTTGGTGCTGGCAGGGCTCAGCGGAGCCGGGTGTTTGCAGGCAGCTCCCGCCTGTGCCCAGATTTAGCTCCTCTGTGGGGGCGACCTAAAAATAGCCCCACGGTGCAGCCTTGCAGCAAGGTCGAGGCCCCCGCACCTCAGGTCATGGTGAGACAGGTGGTGGCACTTTGCGCCTCAGGGGATGGACACAAATAGTAGTTTGGACACCTTCCCCCAGGAACACACGCAGATACAGGGCCTGCTCAGGTGTCTGGGCTGCTATGAGGCAAGAGAGCCCCTAGTTCTCCCTGCCAACGCCCAGAGGTCTTCAGGAGAGGGGATGATTCTGTGTGGGGGTGATGTCTCACCTCACAAAGCCAATGGGTCAAGCAGGGCACAGGGCAAAGGAGGCCCTGGAGAGTGCAGAGCAAGTTTGGGGTATCTGAGGAGCAATGAGGTCTGTGGAAATGCAGTGGGGTCTGGAGACTGAGTTCAGAGTGAAGCCATTCAACCCTGGATGTGCAGGCAGGGTTCAGCTGTGCAGCACTAGCAGGCACAGAGAGGCCAGCAGGGCTGAGAACAGACACAAGTCATGACACGAGTGAGACCGTCCAAAATCCAGGCAGACAGCAGTAAATGGCAGGAGGCACTTAAGGTTGGGCTTAGGAGAGGACAGGAAACAGGGAGGTGGCTGGGAACTTCAAGCAGCAGCACAGTGCTGGTGGGTGACTATGACACGAACACACGGGGAACCACATCTGAGGGGGATTACAGCTGGTTTACACACCAGCCACCTTCCCACTGCCCTGGTTGCCCCACTGCACTGCAGAGGGGCTGGGGCTGGGGCACCCAGAGCCCAGCAGCACTGTGGGGAGAAGCTGCCAGCACACTGGGGATCAGGAGCACCAATGTAGCTGCTGGGGGCACTGGTGTGCTGGGGCTCACACCCCTCTTTTCACTCTTCTCTGTGAGCCCAGCCCCTCTGCACCCTCTCCTCCCTGCTTCTGCCCCAAGCCTTGGCCGTGAGGAGGCCTGGATCTGGCCAGCGTGTGGTGATGCAGAGACCTGCAAGGGCAGACCTGGGGGGAGTCTCGCTGTGATGTCCCCGACACTTCGGTTCTCAGGCAGAGCTGCAATGGTGCCCAGCAGCAGAGCTGATCCTGCCCACGGCAAATAGGATCCTGAGCCGCCCGGGCAGAGGGTGGTGGCACGGTGGGCATGTAGAGACATCCAGGTGTTCTTCCTTTCCACTGGCACAGCCGCAGAGACGCTGTCGCTGTGGCTTGGACACAGAGCCTCCGGCTCTGCCCTGCTCCCACCTTTGCAAAGCCCCTGAGAGCTGAAGAGTGCCGGGCACCAGCTCTGAGCCAGGCAGTGCATCCAGCGGGTGCAAATACCCCCCTGTGTGGGCACTCTGCCGGGACCCCCACGCGCAGGACGCGGCCCACACGTGCTGCACTCCCGGCTCAGCGCGTGGGAATCCGCAGGCAGATGGTCCCGCGGTGGTGGGGAGAGGCCGGGAAATCACATGCGTGTGCACGCAGTGGTGTTCGCTGCCTGCCAGCGCGCTCGGCTCCGCTCCGTTCGGCCCTGCCAGCGTGGGGCACCTGTAATTACCCTGCCAGGCTCCCCGACACAGCAGCGCCCGCGGCGCCGGGTCCTCCCGCAGCCCCGAGATCCCGGCGTGTGCGCGCGTGCTGCTAATTATCCCGCTACCTGGGGACTTCCCTGCTGAAGCTGGCGGGGCGGGAGATTGCTGCTTCGATCCCCCCGCTCTGCCTCCTAGTCCCTGGGCTCCCGCTGGGAGTGCCTCTTTCCTGCAGCGTAGAATCATAGAATAATTAAGGCTGGGAAAGACCTCTAAGATCATCGAGTCCAACTGTTAACCCAGCACTGCCAAGGCCACCACTAAACTGTGTCCTTAAGTGCCATGTCTACACGTTTTTTGAACAATATCAGGGACAGTGATTCCACCACTGCCCTGGGCAGCATCTTCCATAACACAATCCTAGCAGGGCACGAGGGCAGCACTGGAACCCATTTGGGGTGATGCTGTGCCCCACAATGTTGGAGATCAAGTCCTGCTTTTCCCAGCTTCAGCCCACTCCCAGTGAGACAGAGACTGACTTGCTATTGCTGCTGCTGTTGACCCTCCTGTTTTACCCCAAGATGATCTTCCCTTGATACTGAAACTCATGTGCCCCAGTCCCATGCACTGCTTCCCTTCTCTCCTGCACTCTCACAGCCCTCCTATGGCTGGTCCAACCTCTCCCACATGGCTCCTTGCAGGATGCAGGATGCCCAGTGATCACAGCAGCAGCACACACACACGCACACAAGCATGTGAGCGCAAGAGACATGGGAAGGTGAAGAGGAATTTGAGGAAGGTAGGGAGCCAAAACCAGCTCTGCCATGCCCCAGTCCTGGGCAGAGCTGCAGGGAGGACAGCTTTCACCCTTGACTGGCCACAGAGGCTTTCTCCAAGGCAGAAAGGAGATGCATGCAAGGGGCAGGATTACAGCTGGTTCCAATCCCTTTGGGATTTACTGGTCTGGTGTGGGAAAGGCCTGGATGTGTTTCTTGTTAAGCTGAAGCACATAAAGCAAGCATGGGAGAGGCATCCCCAAACCAGCTCCCTGCCTTCTGTCCCAATCCTGCACCAACACTTAGACCCTCCACAGCCAGAGATCCATGTCCCTGTGCCCACCATGGATAATCCCAGTGCCAGCTTGCCATTTCTCCCTGCCCTGAGCTGCCCCTTGCATATCTGGGAGAAAGCCACCAGGACAACTTTTTGGGGTCAGGGACATGGTGCAAGGGCGAGGAGCAGCACTGCGCCCCGAGGTGCTAGCACTGAGCACCTTCCTTCCCCCACAGAGCCATGGGGGTGCTAATGTCCAGGCGGCAGACAGTGGAGAGGGTGCAGAAGGTGAGCTTGGCCGTGTCAGCCTTCAAGGACGGGCTTCGGGAGCAGCCATCGACACGGCGCCGGGGAGAGGCGGGGACCTCACGCCGGGGGACACTGGAGCAGGAGGTGCAGGAGGGAGAGGAGGAGGCATCGGCAGGACCTTCCCAGCCAGAGGAGAGCAGTGCCAGTGCCAGTGCCAAGGCAGCCTGGGAACGGCTGCGGGATGGCCGGGGCGTGGAGCCAGAGGAGTTTGACCGGGCCAACAGGTTCACACCACCCGCCTTCATCCGGCCCAAGCGGGAGCTGCACGATGATGAGCCCCCGGACATCAGCCTGGAGCAGAGGGAGCAGGTGAGCAGATGGAGCCACGGGGACAGGGGCTGGGGAGAGCCCAGGGCTGTGACAGCCTCCCTGGGCATGGCAAAGCCCTATGGAGGTGGCTCAGTGGGGCAGGGTGCCAGAGGCCAGGCTGGGCAGCTGGCCACATGGGGAGGAGGGTGCAACTGTTCAGATGTGCCCTGGAAGGAACGTGGTGTGTCTCGGAAAGAAGAGGTCACTGGTGGGCAAGGCAGCTCCAGCTTTGGGGTAAAGAGAAGGACAATTTGATCTATGTGTTTGTCAGCCTACAGCCAGCCAGCCTGCAACTCAAGCCATCCATTCACACCTGCACTCCCTACAGCCCAGCCCATCCACAACCCAACAGCTTATCCACCCACACATGCAATCCTGCAGCCCACCCATTCACACCCACAACCCTAACCATGTATCCACCCACCAGCCCAACAAGCCTACACCCCAGCCCACCTACAGCCTTCCACAAAACCACAGAACATAGAACATCCTGAGTTGGAAGGAACCCACAAGGATCATCAAGTCCAAGTCCTGCCCCCTGCACAGGACACCCCAACAACCACGCCATGTGCCCGACAGCATTGTCCAAACACATCTTGAACTCTGTCAGGCTTGGTGCTGTGACCACTTCCCTGGGCAGCCTGTTCCAGTGCCCAGCCACCCTCTGAAGCTAAATCATGCAGGGTACCATCAGTATTTCTTGGGAATGGAAATGTGTGAAAAACCTTACAGCTTATCCATTCATACTTACAACGCTAAGAAACAGCCAACCTACAACCCTAGTCCAGCCACCCACACTACCATGCTGAACCCCAGAGCACATACAACCTCAAAGCCCCAGCAACCCTACAGCCACACCCATCCACCCACCATTCATCCCAACAAACCCACCTACCCTCCTGTAACTCAACCAGCCATGCCCCTTACGACCTCACCACCCACCTATTCCCTACTCCAGCCCCACGCATTCCCATCCCCCCATCCACTCCACCCCCCACCCGCAAAACACCACCCACCTGGAGAAGCCAGGTCCCTGCCCACACTGCTCTGCTGAGGATCTGCCCGCCCCTCCCCAGATCGTGAATGACGAAATGTGTGAGATCTGCGAGGTGTGGACGGCCGAGAGCCTCTTCCCGTGCCGCATCTGCCCCCGGGTGTACCACGATGGCTGCCTGCGCCGCATGGGGTACCTGCAGAAGGACAGCACCGTGGAGGTGACGGAGACGGCGCACACCGAGACGGGCTGGAGCTGCTACTACTGCGTGAGTGCCTGGAGCAGGGGACACCGGGCTGCTGCTGGGTGGTGGGTGCTCCCTGGGGAACCCTGCCCCACACAGACATGAGCAGGGTCCCACCTCACAGCCTCGTCCAGGGCAATGGGGGACCTGCACCCCCCCACCTCCTGCTGCCCACCTTGGCCATGGGATGGGCTGCTGGGCACATGAGATGCTGTGGCAGAGCTGGAAGCCCAGGGGCGTGGAGCCATCCCACCGCAGAACCCCAGGGTGACACAGCACACTATCCCTCTTTGTGTGTGGGTGCCCACACCCACATGCTGTCAAGGGATCCCAGTGCTGCCATATAGCGGGATGCTCCGCCAACCCCATGCCTTTGCCCCATGGCTCCTCTCTGCCCCTTGCCCCAGGACAACCTCAATCTGCTGCTGACAGAGGAAGAGATGTACAGCCTGATGGAGACCTTGAAGAACTGCAAGATCATTCCAGGTGTGTACCCTCCCCACGGCAGATCCCAGGAGGCTGGGGGAGGCAGGTGGGGAGGGGGGTCCCCCCTTCTTCCCGGGCACTGCAGAGCCAATCTGTCCCCTACAGAGACCTGCCTCACCCTGGATGACTTCCTGCGCTACAAACACCTGGTGCACAAGCAGCAGTTTGAGAAGCCCATGGTCGAGGCACAGGAGGAGCAGGCAGCCCTGCAGTTCAATGCCCTGGACCCCGACAAGAAGGGGCACATCGAGTGGCAGGACTTCCTCTCCCACGAGTCCATCCAGCTGCTGCAGAAACTACGGCCACAGGTATGATTGTGGCATCCAGGCCTTGCTCCCATGGCTGGCACCCATGGTCACAGCACCCAAGACAAGCTCCCGTGGTCACGGCACCCAGAGCTGGCTCCTACAACTGGCACCCATGGCTGTGGCACCTGGGGCTGAGTCCCATGGCCACCACCAAAGGCGATGGCACCCAGGGCAGGAGACCCCCACAGCTTTGGGAGATTCCCATGGGGTGAGCCCTCTCCCTTCCCTTCTTTGCCCCCCTAGAATGCCCTGCTGCGGTTGCTGACACCCAAGGAGCGGGAGCGGGCACGGGCAGCTTTCCTGGCCCTGGACCAGGACAACGATGGCTTCATAGGGGAGAGCGAGTGTCGCCAGGCCCGGCACACCTGGTTCCGCAAGCACCAAAAGGAGATGCTGTCCTGCAATGTCAGGTATGGGGATGCCCACCCCAGTGTAGGGGTGACATCCAAGCCGGCACTCCTGCCACAGCCCCAGCACCCACCGCAGGGTCTTGGCACACAAATTGGGTGCTCCCACTTCTCATCACCTTCCCTCTGTGGCCCCTCAGTCCTGTGCACCCTCCTCCCCCTGCCACCACCACCATCTGGGGTGCAAGGAACACCCAGGGATGAAGGGTACCCTCCTCCCTCCCACAGCATCAGCCACGTGGGGCCCATATCAGAGGGCAGCCCCGCCAGCAGCAGGAATGGCAAGAGCCCAGAGAAGATCCTGCCAGCCACAAAGCAGGAGGAGCCCAGGTGAGGCAGGGCTGTGTGCAGGGGTGGGGGACACCCTCATTTTGGGGGGAGTTGCCAGGGGAGCAGCAGTGCCAGCTGGGGTGGCTGGTGAGCCCACATCTGCCCACAGGACCGTCGACTGGCCCAGCTTCCTGCGGGAGAATGTCACCTACATCCTGGCCGCGCGCCCCAACAGCGCCGCCCTGCACCTGCAGCCCCCCGCCTAATCCCCGCGGCGCGTCGAGGGCGCGACGCTGCTCCCACCATGCAGACCTGCCCCACCCGCCCCTGGAGGCGGAGCTGGGCGCTGATTGGCTGGCGGGGAGGCGGCCATGCTGCGCTCTGCCCCGCCTCCCTCTTGGATTGGCTGTGAAGAGGACAGGTGCTGGGCCGTGATTGGCTGGGAGGGTGGGGGCCGCTCTGATTGGTGGGGGAGGTGGGAGGGGCAGGGCACGTCCCCGCTGCCCCCACGCCCCGCAGGCACTGCAGCCCCAGGTCCTGGTCCCGGGGTCATGGTGGGGTGCGGGGGCCAGGGAACTGTCTGCCCCCGTGATCCACATCCCCACAGCACCCCCTCACCTGCCAGCGCCTGGAGCCCCTGGAACCCACAGACAGAGCAGGGTCTGCTCTGGGTAGTTGCGGGGTCACAGCGGAAACGGTGCCCGGCATCCGTGTGCCCCCCAGCCTCCCACAGTGCCACAGGGGAGCCACAGCTAAGCCTCTGTGTGCCGCCAGGTCTGCGGCAAACAGTGTCTCAGCTCATTGGCATCATGGATCCTCGAGGGGAGGATGTGGCTGACCCCTTCAGGGTCTTTCACATCCCCACCCTGCTCCTACAGGGGCTGAAGCCCAGTAGGTCCATCCTTGCATGCTGGTGGCTGTGTCTGGGGGAGTGTTCCTTGGCCCTGCCCTCCTGGGGACCAGCTATTTAATGCAGACAGCAGTGGTGTGGGAAGGAGCACCAGGACTAGAAAGCTTCAGAGGGATGGGAGGGCAAAGTGAGATGGAGGGGAGCCCTCCTGTGCATCTGACCTTGCCCTCAGCACTCCCTTGCATCCCTCATCCCCTCCTGTACCCCTGGTTCCAAGGGATGCTCTCCATCCACCTAGCATTCCAGGCCCCAACCCTGTTCAGTCCTGCTCTCTCCCCAGCATGGTGAGTGGGCAACCCCATCTCACTAGGGGCATTACTGCTTGTGGTGAGGAGGGGGAGGCAGAGCCCAGAGCCCTCCAGGTGTCAGCTGCAGGGGTGAGGCACTCGCTGGGCAGGGCTGGTGCTTGGCAACACTGTTGTGAATAGATGTGCTCAGCCCACAGGTGAAGGAGGAGGGATCCCGGAAACCTCATCCCAAACACACCAGGGGCCGGGATGCCCAGGTCTCATGGCAGCCCCAGCAGCTGCTCCTTGCCCCTCCGATTCCTCCCCTGCAATGCCCTTAGCCTCTCCCTGCCTGGTGTGCCCTGGCTCAGCCGGGGGGCCCTGGAGTGTACACAGACCAGGAGTGCACTTGCAGCAACCTGGTCACTCCCTCACCTCCATCCCCGATGCAATGGGGGCACCATTCCACTCAGCCCCATTTCCCCAGACAGGGCACAGTTCCCCTCTCCAGGGTCTCTCCCACTGCAAGACCAGGAGGTGCACCAGTGCCACGACATCTTCCTCTACCGCCCTGGCATGCCAGGCCAATGGGGATATTTTGGATGCCAGGTCCGAGATGTGGCCAGAGCGTCAATGGGGATATTTCGGATGCCAGGTCCGAGATGTGGCCAGAGCCATGGTGAGGAGGTGGCCGTGGGTGCGTGGGTTGCAACTCCCTATCTGTACTGAGATACATCCATTAAACAGCTGTGTCCAACCAGCCTCCTGAAGGTGCGCTTTCAGGGCTTCTGGCTTCTCCTCAGGCACTTCTGGGGATCCACAGCAGCCTGTTGTGTTTAAGATCCTATCCCAGCCTCGGGTCATTGTCCCACCAGGCAGGCTTGGCCTCCCATCCCCAGAGTGTCCCACAGCAGCAATGGGGGGAAGCCAGCGGGTGCACCCAGGACCCTGCAAACTCGAGGTGCCCCATGTGTCCCCAGGAAAGCAGACAGTAGGGAGAGTGCTTGGCTGACCCTACAACAACGCCAGTCCCTGCATTGGAAGGGACACTCACCCACCGGGATGAGGGTGCTCCCTGCCTTCAGAGGCACTGGAGGCTGTGAACTGAGCACTAGAGACTGCTGGATGCTGGGAACAGGCTGTCTGCAGCAGTGCTGGGAAACCTGAAATAACCCCACAAAGACACCAAGGGTGCCCAGGAGGAGAGTGGTCCCCATGGCTGGAGTGCTTCAGTCCTAATCACATCCACGGAGCTCCCACAGGAAGCTGCGGCTTTTGATGGTGGCACAAATGGTCTGTGGGAATCAGCAAAGGGGGCTCACCTGCCGGGAGGGACTTTTCTTTCACAGTACCTGCACTGCTGGGAGGGGAATGGGGTTTGAGAAGAGAGTTTGGGAGAGAATTAGGAGGGGGATGTTGCCCTGGCAACGTCTGTGCTGTCTGCAGGGACACAGAACTTGGTGCTAAAAGCTGGACTTGGACATTCAGCCCACTCCCAAGGCCACAGTGGGCTGCCATGGCATCTAGACCACAGGAGCAATGTGCAGCTCATCCCCAGAGAAAATCCAGCAAGTATTTCCGGCTCTGGGAGCCAGAGCAGCTGTAAAAGCACCTGGGAGAGGTCCCCATCACCTTGAGGAAGAGGATGGGCATCTGGGGGAAGGGGAACTCACAGTGTTTTTGTGCCTGATGGTGGGATATCATGGGTGCGTGCTCTGCTCGTGAAGGGAAGCCACGGGAAGCCACAGGAAGCCACAGGAAGCCCTCACATGGCGAGATGGTGTTGATCACTGTGTTATTGCTCCGTCTGCTGGAGATGAAGAGAAAGCTGGGGCAGTGCACAGGCTTGGGGATGCTGGCAATGAGACATCCACTGCCACCACCCCAAAACGACACCCTGAGCCCTCAGGATCCAGACCGGGAGACCAAATCCTCCTGGGCCCTAATCCAGCCCCACTCTGGTCTCAGTTCTTCCCTTGCGAAACAAGGTATAGGTGGCTTTCCCACCTCCAGCCCACCTGCCACCCCCTGCAGCACTCTGGCATCCCTGCCTGGGCACACAGCTGGCTGGTGTTTCTGGGGAGCTGGCTAAAACAAGGGCCACAGGTGGCTGGGGGGGCCTATGTCCTGCAGGGCTGTGCCGTCACTGCTGTGGCACTGTCATCCCAGCTCACATCCTCTGTCACAGCAGCAGGTCCCCAGTGAGTGACCTCCACGGAGCAGAGTGTGCCTCAACCATGTCCCACACAGGCACCATCGAGATCTGGGCAGAAGCAGGAGGACATGGTGGAGGAGTGGGCAAGGTGGTGCTGTGGCTCCTCTTAGCTGTCACCTGCTCCTTCAGCAGCTGCTGTCCACAGAGACACTGTCCCCAGAAAGCCTCTGTGGCCTGCAGACCACCATCCCTGATGCTGGGGCAAACCCCTCCCTAAATGCTGAGGGATACTTCCCCTGCATATGGTGCAAACCTCCTAAACACGTGAAAGCTGGCACTAAGCTCTCTCTGAATACTTCTCACTACACGCTGGTACAAACCTGCCCCTGAATCCCCCTGAATGCTAATGCAAACCTCCAAACAAGTGCTGGTGCCAACCTTTCCCTGAACAGTGGTGCAAATCTCCCCACTGAGATCCCAGAGGCCAGAGGATCAGGATGCTCATGTGGGATTTAAGGGTGGGGCAAGAACCAGCTGTCCAGCCCAACCCTCCCAAGCCCTGCTGTACTGACGGTGTCTGTGCAGCCCACGGGTCTGTTGTCCATCACCCACCACCAGGTGCCACACAGTGGGTGCTGTGTTCCCCAGTGGGGGTTCTCAGCCCCAGGGCTCCAGTCCAGCATCATCCAGTCTGGGGCCAGGGGCAGAGTCCTGGGTCCTGGGGGGCAGCTCTGGCTCGTGCATGTGTCTCACAGCAGGCAGTGGTCAGAGCATCATCCACCCTTCTCCCAGGTGGTCCTGCCCTCTGCAAGGGGACTGGAGCACCTCGGTCTGCCTGGCTCAGGATGTCTTTGCCATCCCACAGGAACCCCAGGGGATGGGGAGTAGTAGTGCCCTACTGCTAGAGTTTCCCCCTCTGCCAGGCTGCAGGACCCCTGCACATGGCTGCCACCCACTCCAAAAACCTCTGCTGGTGGGGAATATGGGTGCTTGGCTTTGCACCCCAGGGTTCAGGATAGCACCCTCCTCCGAGGCTGGACACCTCTGCCTGTCCCTGGGGCTCCCCTGGGCTTGGCCAAGTGCCATCAGGTCTAGTGTGTCCCAGAGGGGAAGTGACCACACCAAAGCTGGCCAAGCTTCAGGAACGTGTGTGCAAAGCTGTGCTGACACAGGAGGGACAGAGGTGACCAAGGGGACCCACTGGGCTAAGACAGTGTCACCATGAGCCATGGCACCTGGCTATCACTGGGGCAAGATGTCAGAGCCCCATCCCATCACTGCCACAGGACTGTCAGAGACCAGTCAGAGACCAGTGGCAGGAAATGAGGGTTCTCCGGGCAGCTTGTGACAGTGACAGCAACAGCCACAGCCCCCGGAGGCAGCGACACCCCAGATGCCCCAACTATCCTTCCCCTCCCGGGCCAGAGCAGGACTGACCATCCAGAGCAGGGACAAGTGTTCCCATTTAGCAACATCCCCCCAGATGTGAGCAGGGAGAGGAGATGGGAAAGCTGAGGAGATTTTGGGGCGCAGAACTGGGATGACGAGATTGGGCCACTAAGAGGAGACCCCCTCCCGACCCCGAGCTAGGGTCCGTAGGGGCACTAGAGACCTCTGGGGAGACTTCAGGGAGGACTGGGGGTGAAGGGGCTGGGAGAGGGTGGTGCAAGGGGCCACCAAGTAAGAAGTGTGTGTGCCCCTGCAACAGAGAGGTGGCCACGGGGTGTCGCCCCTGCACCGCGCCGGGAGCCGGCGGTGCCACTTCGGGACCTGCACAGAACATGCAGGGAGGGAGGATGCAGGAAGGGAGGATGCAGGGACTCATCTCTCTACCCAGAAATCATTTTGTAGGCTGGCTTGTGACGCCTTTCCCCTCCTGCCCAAGCTCTGATTCCAACCTCTGCCCCATAGCACCCTCTTCCTCCCTGGTTATGTGCCTTTGCAAGGTGAATGGAGGGCCACACACCCTGCGTGGGGAGCTGGGACCCAGCCATAGCAGCCGCAGGCTCCTGCAGGGATGGGCTCCATCCTCTGCAGTCCCCTGGAGCTGGGAAACCCCGGGCCTTTGGAGAAGAGGCACCAGCCCAGCAATGCCTCAGGTCTAACATCCCTTCCTCATGAGATGCACAGGGATTCAGAGCCCCCTCCTGCCTGCGTCCCCTGGTAGGAACCCTGGGCACTCCCTCATCTGCACAGAGCCACTGCACCTCCCAAATAACCACAGGGTCTGACCACACACAGCACTGGGCTCGGAAGGATGTTCAAGTGATGGAAATGCAGCCCAGCACTAAGTGTGGTAGCAGGGGTAAGGACAGGGATGTCCACCAGCACCTCCTGCAACCGACTACATGCTGCTTGGGTCCACAGGGAAGTCTGGAGGAAGCTGTATGTGACTTAAGTGGGGAAATGAGATAACCTCCCAACATATCCCCTGGCATGCTGTCAGCTGTGGAATGAGCTGCCTCAACAGGACACAACCCCACAGGCACTCCAGCATGAAAGTGGTATGCTCCTCTCCCGGAAGGATGGCCTGGGCTACTCACAGGAGTCCATGCAGGAGCTGTGCATGGCTTCCCAGAGGCACACCATGCCACCACCGGCTCCCGCCACCCCCACATTGCTGGCTCGGTGACCCTGACAGTGCAGGGCTGACAGACACTGTCTCCTGTTCCCAGCAGGCTCTCTCCCACTTCTCTCCCCGCAGCACAGGGAAATAGAACACGGGGTTCCCATGTGGTGCAAGGAGTGCAGAGGAGGCCCTGGGATGAGGGGGGGCACAGAAGGGTGCTGGGTACACTGAGCATCTTTTTTCCACAGCAGCTTTGCTGTGACTCATCCTGGCAACCCACACAGCACTGAGCCAGGGTGTCCAGGTCCTCTCCTGTCTCAGTGTAAGGCCATGTAGAAGCAACACATTAACAGCACAAGTCCTGGGTGCCTCCCTCTGCGTCTCCCTGCTCCCACTGCCCCAGCATTGCAGTGGGACTGGGAGGTGGCATCAGGGACAGTGGCCTCAGCCCTGGGCTTCCATGTTCCTCTCTGTGGCAGCCTGGACCCCAGGGCCCCACTGACCCCTGAGCAGCTGCTACCAAGCACCAGCAGGGCTGGTATGGCAGTGGCCATTGGCTGCCAAATAAAGCAGGGAGTGAAATGATTTGGGGTACAGTGAAGGGCAGTACCTGTCTTCCCACTTCGGCTGTGTGTATTCAGGCCCCACAGCTGGAATTGGAGCAGATGCTGATGGTCCCTCTGGGTAGCACAGGGGGCAGCTGTACAGTGCCATGCATGTCCCTGTGTGCCCCAGCATCCCCCCTCACACCACATGTGTGCTGTGCATCCCAGCATCCCCTCTCCATTTGGGAAATGACCCTGAACCATAAGCCAGCACACACAGTCCTCTCAGCTCATCCCCAAGCCACAGGACATGCTGGGGACACTGGTAAGAAGGCATCAGTCCAGGACTAATGTGGGAGCTAGATAGAGCCAAGGCATACCCTGGCTGGCCTGAGAAGGAGGAAGGCAGCCAGAGTACCTGGAAAGCAGGGATTTGGATCCGAGCCACTCCAGAAAGCCAGCACCATGCTTGGCAAAGGCAGATGCCCCCAGC